AAACCCAGTCTTGAAGAACCAAAAGAAAACACACACACACACACACACACACACACCAGCTAGGCTTCCCATTTATCATAATTCCTGTATCTCAGTTATAAATTTTTCTAGGCCCTGGAAAAAGTGAGACAGATGAGGACTATACCACCAACATCCATGACCCACACAGAAAAAAAAGTTACAGAAAAATATAAAACAACAAAAATAAAACCATTAGATAGGCATAGTGGAACATAGCTGTGGTACCATCACTTGAGAATCTGAGGAAGGAGACTAGCCATGATTTTGAAGACAGTGAGACCCTGCTCAGAACAAAAACAAATTCATACCCAATTTTCGAAGAATTCGTTTGCATTCATCCCTGCTGAGATCCAAAAGGGTTGGCCACACAACAGGCATTGCTGCTTCTGTTTGGTAGCCCCAAAGAGCTTGTCCTCCCTATCAGAAGAAAAATCAAATTACCAAAGTATATGCAATAGGTCACTTGCTTGGAGATCCATTCACAGGCTACGAAGTAAAACTGTAAAGACACCTCATAACCACTTTTCAACACCATGCTTTCCAGCTTCTGACAAATGAATCAAACCATCATTTTCGAGCACACTGATCCAGCTCATATTAACAGTGGAAAGAGAGGGGGTTTTAGAGTCAAACACTTGGTTCCAGTTACAGCTTTTCAACATAATTAGTTGTTTCATCCTGGTGAACTGGTCTGTCTGAACCCACTTTGCACAGGTTTATGGGGGGGAAAAAAGTAATCCCACCCAGTTTATTGTGATTAAGTATTAGAAAACAGGGCATGTCAAGTTCTTTTAGAGTGGCTGGTGTATAACTTGCCAAATAGATTCTACCGCCTGTGCAACCTTGGACAAATGACTTGACCTCTGCCAGTTTCCTTAATAATAAGTTATGAGATAAAATAAGCAAAGGGTAGAGCATGTTATTTGGGTAAATGGAACTTAGTAAAGAACTTTTTCCTCAAGTTTTGTCAGTAAAATTGCTATGAACCCACCAGTTATCAAAGTTTTAGATGCTTGAGATTTCACACTGAGAATTCCCTAGTCTGGAGAACAAAAAGACACAGAACCGGTAATTCACACTACCGGCTGAGCACACAGTAGACCTTCCTTAAACATCTGTTAAACTGATAAAAGGATGGTTAGCAGGAGAGTAGAGTGGATGAGTGGATGGATGGACGGATGGATGGACGGACGGACGGACGGACGGACGGACGGACGGATGGATGGATGGATGGATGGATGGATGATGGATGGATGATGGATGGATGATGGATGGATGGATGGATGATGGATGGATGATGGATGGATGATGGATGGATGGATGGGTGGATGGGTGGGTGGATGGGTGGGTGGATGGGTGGGTGGATGGATGGATGGATGGATGGATGATGGATGGATGGATGGATGGATGGGTGGGTGGATGGGTGGGTGGGTGGATGGGTGGATGGATGGATGGATGGATGATGGATGGATGATGGATGGATGGGTGGGTGGGTGGATGGATGGATGGGTGGGCCAAACACTAAACCCATGTAACTCTTCTACTGCGTTCCAGGCGGCTCTGGGCTGCTAACTCCAACTCCTGGCCTCAAGTGGAGCCCTCTTCCCCCTACTTCCCATCGTCCTCTGAACTCAGAACCAACCCTGAGCAAGCCGAACCGGACTGCGCGCCCCAGCTGGCAGGAGGACCTAAAGAAAGGGGGTGGAGAGGAGGAAGGGGCAGAGCCAAAGGAATCCGCTCGCTCCCCAAGCCAGTCTCCGCCTCCCGATAGGATCTCGGAGGCGGCAGGCGACCGCCCGAATCAGGCACCACGTCACGGCATCCCAAAGCATCCCCTCTAGCGAAGCTCACGGCGGAGCCGCACCGCAAAGGAAAGTCGAGCGGCCGCAGCCGGAGCGCGCGCGCTTCAGGGACCGGGGTCGCAAGGACTTACTTGGTCCCCCGCTCAAGTGTCAGCAGGCAGCCCGCCCCGCCCCCTCTCCAAACACGCACTCCTCACAGCACCACAACAAGAGCAGCCCGCCCGGCTCCTCGCCGGCGCGGCTCAGCACCGGTCCCAGTGTCAAGCCCGCGCCCCCGTGGCCAGCAGCCGGTCTCGGGAACCCTGGTCAGCGTCCGCGCCTCGCGCTCTCCTCTGTGGAGAGGACAACGGAGGGACGCGAACAGCCAGACGCCCCGGCTTCACCCCGGGAGGACCTAGACCTCGACCTCCGGTGTCCCATCACCAGGCGTGCCGGAGTCCCCCTCGGTCCACTTGAGGGAGCCCCGCGATCCCGTTAGGAAACAACGGAGGATGGGGCTGACCGCTCCAAGCCGGGCTCCCCATGACTGGCCCAGCGCCCCCATACCCTGGATAACCTGCCAGCTCTTCCCAGTACCCTGCCTGAGAGACACCCACCTGCCCGGCCTTTCGGGGCTCATCTAAAAGGCTCCTCCGCCAAGACTAGGGGACACCAGGAATTAGGTTTGTTTGCGGTGCCTCAGAAGGGGCAAGATGGCGACAGATACCAGAGCGCAGGCGCAAACGCGCGCGGCTCATCGGGAGGTGTAGTTCGCCTTTCCCGCCTTTTGAGAAACGAGCACTCAAAAGCCTCCATTCGTTCGGCCCTTTTTCCACTGCGTTTTGAAAGGAAAGGACGGGCGTCGCGAGGCCTGCTGGGAGTTGTAGTCCGAGCTCAAACGCCGTCCTCTTTCTCTGTCTCTGCTTGCCGGTCGCGTGCGCAAGGAAGTCTGGGAGTGTAGTTCCTTTTGGCTCCTCCAGTCTCTAGCTTCGCGCGCCTATCCTCCCGGCCTTTCCCGGCCAATCGGCTGCTCTTTCAGCTAAACGTGTGGCGTCACACGTACCGGTCAAAATGGCGTTGGTAATTGGAGCTGAGCTTCGACCTTTAGTCTAGCGAGGTTAGGGATGAAAGGAACACAGCTTGGTGCCTGATGAAGGGTTGGGGATTAAGACTTGGTTCTTCAGACTCTTGGGAGCAATCACCCGCGTCCTTCAGCCACCCAGACGACAACTCAAGAGAGATTATTCACGCTACGAGAACGGAGAGAAGACCTCACAGTGACCCGTACCCCCTTCTCGGTGTTAAGAGTTGCAAGTCGACGAAGGGAATCCGAGCGTTCTCTGTTAGAGGGGTTACGCCGTGTGCGAAATAGGAAAGATAGTGATATCTCGTGCTATGTCGGTCAAAGGGAAAAGGGGATTTACTTGTGGCACTACGATATACGCTATGGTAGGTTCGCCCTCAGCCTTTTGTTATTATTTAACCACACCATGTTGTGGAGGTCTTGTCCTCCCCACCCCCATTTTACAGATGGAAAGAGGGCCCATATATCGTTACAACTATCCGGAAAACCAAGATTAGTTTCTACTATTGTAAATTCCATCAAATTTTGTGGTGTTCTCCCTCTAAATGAAGAACTCAGATTTCATTGGATGCAATGAAAGTGCACAGACCTAAAGGAATTGTTGGGGTGCACCCTGCTGTTAGCAAATTCCCTTGAAAACTCGGGCTACGCTGGGAGGACATTAGCTCAGTGGTAGATTGCTTGTAGAGTGTGTGCAAGACCCGTAGCTCTGAATTGGGGTGGGGGTTGACAACAAAACCGACCCTGTGGAAATACTCAGATACACAACGTGCATAAGACTTTATTTTCCTGTGGGTCGCTGTGAATTACAGTTGTAATCCCAGCACTGGGGAAGTGGAAGAAGGAAGATCAGGAAGCAGTTCCAGGTCAGCCTGAACTGCAAGAGGCCCTGTGACCAAAAACGGTTTGAGGTTTGTTGTTGTTTTTAGTAAATTGTGAACCACTTCATAAATGTGAGTCTGTTCGTTCTCTCGAATGGAAATGTCGGTTAGTCAGGAATTAAAAGGGACCATTTAAGTTTCCTACTCGCCTCTCCTGACCTTTCTGTGCTCACTATGAGGTCAGTTGCTTAAGAATACCTTATAAGGTAGTGGATTAAATCTTAACAGGAGACTTCGTAATTTAATAGACATTCTTTGATTTGACCCTTGCCGCGTCTCCATGAGGCAGGTGTAATTAAGCTTCCCCATCCTATGAATGGAAAGGCACAGTTGTTCAGGAACTGGTGAACCAAGGGCTGTGCCTCAGAAGGCAACAACAGGGGGCTGGAGAAATGGCGCAGTGGTTAAGAGCACTGGCCTCTCTTCTAGAGAAACTGGGTTCCATTCCCAGCACCCTTGAGGTAGCTCACAACCACATAAAAGTCCAGTTCCAGGAGTTCCTCAGGTGCTGCACAAATACACTGCACAGCATGAGTATAGTACAAAGGCACACACAGGCAAAACACCCATACACAGAAAATAATTTTCTTAAAGATTTAAAGTGTTGTGAGTTCGAGGCTGGGCTGGACCGATAGCCTCCGAAACAATACAGAGAAACCCTGTCTCGTAAAAACCAAAAAAAAAATAGATTTAAAGTGTTCCAGCATGTCGATGGTTGTGAGCCACCATGTGTTTGCTGGGAATTAAACCCAGAACCTCTGGAAGAGCAGCCAGTGCTGTTAACCTCTGAGCCATCTCTCCAGTCCCAGAAAATTTGTTTTAAAGATTTATTTATTGCATACAGTGTTCTGTCTGCATGTATACCTGCTGGTCTAAAGAGGACACCAGATCTCATAGATGGTTGTGAGCCACCATGTGGTTGCTGGGAATTGAATTTAGGACCTCTAGAAGAGCAGTCAATGCTCTTAACCTCCAGCCAGAAAATAATTTTTTAGAAGGCAACAACAGGCCTGGAGAGCTGGCCCAGAGTTAAGGGCACTGACTATTCTTCCAGAGGACTGGGGTTCAACTCCCAGCACCCACATGGTGGCTCACAACCATCTATAATGAGATCTGGTGCTCTCTTCTGGCGTGTAGGCATATGTGCAGCCAGAACACTGTATACATATATAATAAACCTTTAATTTTGAAAAAAAAAAAGCAACAATAAAAACCTGACTCTTGACCAGGTAATAATAGTACATGCCTTTAATCCCAACCACTTGGGAGGCAGAGGCAAATAGTCTCGGAGGTGATGTCTGCGAGCAGACGGTGAGGTTCCAGGTTCATGGAGACTGTGTCCAGTAGCACACAGTCCAACAGCTTGTACCAGCATCCTGTCCCGGCCGTCAGCATCCCCCACTTCTGCTCCGCGGCCTGGCGGCGTCAGCCGGTTTACCTGGACCACCACCTCATCTTTCTTCTCTTGCGCTTCAGCCTGCACATTCGCTTCTTCCTCCGCTTCGCTCTCATGGCACAGGATTCCCAAGGAAGATAGCGCTAAGGCCGAGAGGACAAACAAGGTTTTAAATTTAGGCAGCCTGGGCTGGCAAGACGGTTCAGCGAGTAAAGACGCTTTGCCTTGCAAGCCTGGTGACCTGAACTCAATCTTCAGAACCCATTCACGTGATAGTGGGAGAAGTGACTTCACAAAATTGTCCGCTAACCTCCAGCGTGTGTACACACACAGATGATGCACACTTTTATTTGTTATAAATTTAGGCAGTTTGCCTCCAGAGTCTACACCTTCCGCCAGTAGTAACTCTCAAACTTTAGTGTTCAGTAGGAAGACATGAAGGTCTGGTAAAATGCAAACATTTTTGGTTATAGATAGTTAGGGGATAGGGCCAGATCCTGCTTCTAACAAGGTCCCAAGTAACAATGCTGCAGCTACATACCATTTTACATCTTTCCCTTCTTCCTTTCATTAGTTGGTATTTTTTGTTGTTCTATAGGCAAGAAGACATCCCCATGTGTTCCTACCTCAGTCTCGAGTGCTGGGATCACAGGTGTGTGCTACTGCATCGAGCTCTTAGACATACTTATACACCCTCTGTGCTATCTCTTACTGCTTTGTACTTCCAAATGTTCCCAATGTCTCTTAAAGATCAGATTCAAACTACCTGTCTCCCTTACATCTCATGAAACACACCCTGGCCCTACAGTCCCTCCAGCATGAGACATGCAGTCCCTTATCTGTTCTCACACCATGTTACAGAGCTCAAAACAGAGTTTATGGTCATTTGAAAATTCCTGGCTAGGCTGGGTGGCCGTGGTGCACAATTTTAAGACCAGCACTCTGGGAGGAAAGCAGAGCTCTGTGAGTTCCAGGCCAGCCTGGCCTACAAAATGAGTTCCAGGGCAGCTAGGACTATTACACAGAGAAACACTGTCTAGAAAAACTAAAAAAAAAAGAAAATTCCTGGCTAAAACAAGCTCTTTATGGAAAGAGACGAATCAGGTGTGTAAATTTTTGTGCCTAACACATAATAAAAGTAACAACTAAAATATATTCACAGTGGCCGGTTAGTGGCGAACACCTTTAATTCCAGCACTCGGAAGGCAGAGGCAGGCGAATCTATGTGAATTAGAGACCAGCCTGGTCTACCGAGTGAGTTCCAGGACAGGTTCCAAAACAATACAAAGAAACCCCGCCTCAAAAAACCAATAAATAAATAAATAAAATACATTCACAGCTTTCTCTGTTTCAGGTGCTGTTCTATATATTAGCTTCCTTAGTCCATACAATAACCTGATAGTAACTGTGGTAGTCATAGTTCTCTAGAGGAACAGAACTACAGAATAAATGAGTAAATAATAGTATATATGGAATTTATTAGAGTGGCTTATAGGCTGTGGTCCAACTAATCCAAGAATGGCTGTCTTCCAACAAAAGGTCCCAGAATCCAATAGCTGTTTAGTCCATGAGACTGGATGTCTCAGCTTATCATCGGTACACACTGGAATTCTGAGGAAGTAGGCTCTATGCCAGTGAAGGAATAGACTTGCCAGAAAGGCAAACAAGGCAAAGAAAGCAAGTTTCCTTCTTCCATGTCCTTCATACAGTCTGCCAGCAGAAGGTGTGGCCCAGATTAAAGATGGATCTACTCACCTCAAAAGATCCACATTAAAGGTGGATCTTCCCACCTCAAATGATTCAGATTAAAAGTAATCTTCCCACTTTGAACAATTTAGTTAAGAAAAAAAGATTCCTCAGTGGGTATACCCAGCCACATGGGTTTTAGTTAATTCCAGATGTAGTCAAGTTGACAACCAAGAATAGCTATCGAAGTAACCATGTTTTAGAGGGGGAAAAAAGGCACAGGTTAAATTCCATAATTCCATTCATAATAGATTAATAAAGTGCCAAAGCTATGATTTTAAATGGATTAACTTCTGAGGGAAAAGTAAGACTTACCCTGCTAGACCTTAATGATCAGAATTGCCTAGTCTTTGAGAATGCTTAGGAGTAGATAGAACACTTGCCTTAAGTATTCCTTGCTTGTCTAAGCAGCTAAGAGGTCTGACACTAGGTTAGAGAGATAGCTCATTGGTTTAAAGCATTTGCTGTTCTTGCAGAGGACCAGGGTTCTATCCCCAGCACCCACATAGTGGCTCACAGCTATCCATAACTCTAGTTTCAGGGGATCTGACTCCGTTTTCTGACCTCCTGGTTCACACACATGCATGCAGGCTGATGTTGGGTGTCCTTCTGCATATAAGTTTCTCTTATTGGTTGATGAATAAAACACTGATTGGCCGGTAGCCAGGTAGGAATCAATAGGCAGGGCTACCAGACCAGGAGAAGGCAGGGGGAAGGAAGGCAGAGAGTGAGGCCTCGAGGAGATGCCAAGCTGCCAAAGGAGTAACATGCCAGATTATGGGTAAGCCACAGCCCCATAGCAATACATGGATTAATAGAAATGGGTTAATAATTAACACAGAGCTAGCCAATAAGAAGCCTAAACCATCGGCTAACAGTTTAATAATTAATATGACTCTGTGTGCTTATTTGGGTTTGAAGGGTGGGGGGACCTGGCAGACAGAAACCTCCATCTACAGCAGGCAAAACACTCATACACATAAATTAAAATGGGGGAGGCAAGGATTTTGTTTGTAATTATGTGTATGTGTCTGTGGTGGGTTTGTAAACATGATCACAGTACCAGTGGAGGCTAACAGAGGGCATGGAATCCCTTGGAGCTGGAGTTATAGGTTGTTGTAAACTGCCAGATATGGAGCATGGGAACTGAATTAGGGTCCTCTTCAAGAGCAGTAAATACTCTTAACTGCTGAGCCATCTTTCCAACACTAACCTGGCTCACTTCTACATTTAAGCAAGAAAAGAGTCCAAAGAAGTAATGTAATGGAAGTCACATGAGGCTTTTATGGCAGGACTGTGTCTTCTGGTTACTATTCTTTCCACTGTACTACACTGCCCTTATATTCTTGCCTTTAAGAAGCTTTGCCACGCTAATGCAAGCAAGGGATATACTAAAAACTGGGCTATCGACTAAAACAAAATAAGTAAACTATGGAATAGTAGATCAAGATAGTGGATTGGGGGGCTGAAAAGAAACGAAACAAGGTAACTGAGAAATAAAATTAGCATTCCTGGAATCAAATAGCATCAGAAACAGCTTGAACAATCTAGAGCGGCTTCAGAAAGAACAGTAAGACACCTGGCCACTGCCTCAACTGCAGCCATTCACCGTTGGTACTTTCTGCTTCCTAATAGCTGGCTTCCTTGTCCGTCTGTCCTTCCTTCCTTCCCTTCCCTTCCCTTTCCTTCCCTTTCCTTCCCTTTCCTTCCCTTTCCTTCCCTTTCCTTCCCTTTCCTTCCCTTTCCTTCCCTTTTTTTTTTTAAAGATAGGATCTCTCTGTGTAGCCCTGGTTGTCCTGGAACTCACTCTATAGACCAGGCTGATCTTGAACTCATAGAGATCTGCCTGCCTCTGCCTCTGCCTCTGGAGAGCACCTCTGTGGAATAGGGCTTTTTGTTTTGTTTTGTGTTTGTGCTTTTTTGCAAACCCTCTTCTTCATCTACTCTTGCATTCACCATCATAAAAGCCTTTCATCATTGTTGCTGCTGGCCATCTCTGCACTTCTGCGACCGTATCTTGCACTTCATTCTACCAAGCTGTTCTACTGGAATCAATGACCAAGTTATTCCACATTCTAAGCAAAACTTTTAAATTCAGGTTTCTTTTTTTTTTATTTGGTTTTTTCGAGAAAGGGTTTCTCTGTGGCTTTGGAGGCTGTCCTGGAACTAGCTCTTGTAGACCAGGCTGGCCTCGAACTCACAGAGATCCGCCTGTCTCTGCCTCCCAAGTGCTGGGATTAAAGGCGTGCGCCACCAACGCCCAGCAAATTCAGGTTTCTTATTCCTTCACCCTTACCAAACCTGTTCAACCTGAGTGATGTTAGCAGGCTTCCAGCTACCCACTTCAATTCTGCTTCCTTTTCCTGTTTTTACTTTCTGCTCTGAACCCCAAGTCATATATTTTAAAAATCGGTCTTCTCACCAGTTTCCATCGGTCTCTGTCCTATCCACCCTAAGACAGTCCTCAACCTTACATAATTTCGCCTATGTTTGATAGCCATTGGTGCTTAATGAATTATCCCAAATCCTAGTGGCTTAAAACAATAAATACTCTGTTTTAATTCAGTTTGTAGTTTCTGACAAAACCACAAGTAGCTTAGCTGGATGGTTTTGGGGGGAAGGCAAGGTTGAGAAACGATTTCATTCCTATAATTGAGGCTGGCCTAGAACTCACCACATAGTCAGGCTGGCCTGGAACTCACCACATAGCCAGGCTGACCTGGAACTCACCACATAGCCAGGCTGGCCTGTAACTCTTGGCAGTCCTTTTACTTCAGCCTCAAGTGGTCTGATTACAGGCATAATGCTGGCATTGGGTGATTACTGGACATTTTTTGAAAATATCAACTTCCATGGTCTATAATTATTTACATCCTGGCTTCTGGCCAAAACGACTCACATCTCTCCCACCCTCCCTCACATCCTTCATTCAAAATTCCTAATCTGTCCTCATTATAGAAACAGGTTTCTGGTTTCTTTTCTTCTTCTTCTTCTTCTTCTTCTTCTTCTTCTTCTTCTTCTTCTTCTTCTTCTTCTTCTTCTTCTTCTTCTTCTTCTTCTTCTTTTAAATTAAATAAATAAATGAACTCTGTGTGTGTGTGTGTGTGTGCACGCATGCATACATGTGCATGCACAGACGCTGTGAGGTTCTGGGGGTCAAATCCATCCATAAGTAGAATGTGTTTTTACCTACTGAGCCATCTTGCCAGCCTAACTTTACTCTTGACCACAGTTTTGTCATCCTACTCTGGTCTAGCTAAGTTTCCTCAGGTACAGGCTAGCTAAGCACGTCAGCCCCAAATCCAACTGTTTCTCTGATTGAGGCTCAGGTTTTTGACCTAGGCATGATTCTCCACAGCTCCTACCCCCACCTTTAGGACTTTCTGAATTCTGCTTT